GCTTTCCACAAATTCCATCTTTTTTTTATTTTTAAAGTTATTTTTAATTTTAAATTTGTTCACATTTTTTATTGTTCAAATACAGTTGACTCCAAAATCTCATTGTCTCATCGCCTCCCCCACCCTCACCCCTGTTTACTACTTTAGTGCTGCAACCCCTGTCCCGGCATTTCTGATGTCTTTCCCCACCCCCATGCCCTTCTTCCCTTTGCCCCTAGAGTGTAAAATGCTCTATCATTTACTCATTTAACTTAAACAAGGGTCACCTTCCAACTAGCATCGGCTCCTTAAAGGCAGGGATTTTTAGATATTTCACCACCACACAATAGCTCTGGTCCTGTCTGATACAATAAAAAAATACTCATCTTACCCTGGCTGGTGTGGCTCAGTAGATCAAGCACCAGCCTTTGTACCAAAACATCACCAGTTCGATTCTAGTCAGGGCACATGCCTGGGTTGTGCGCCAGGTCCCTTGTTGGGGCCTGCAAGAGGCAACCGATGTTTGTTTCTCTCCATTTGTTTCTCCCTCCCTTCCCCTCTCTCTAAAAATAAATAAAACCTTAAAACAAAAGCAAAACTTGGTCTTTGTCTCCGGTTCCTGGCACACGTCTCTTAAAATCCATGTTATCTCTGGAGTTCTGAGTGTCTTTTACGAGCTAGTAAGAGGACTAGGGTGGGGTGTGGAGGGCGTGGGTAGCTTCAGGATGGGAGTTGGTCTCCGGGAAGACCTCGTGGTGACTAGAGTGTTGGCACCGTCAGTCCAGCGCCCTGACCGGGGGACGGGGAGGCGCTGGAGATAGAGTGAATCAGTGATGGCCAATGATTTAATCAACAGTCCCTATGTAATGAGACCTCCATGAAAACTAGGGGTGTCCAACCCGTGGCCCACGGGCTGCGTGTGGCCCTGAATGGCTATGGATGTGGCGCAATGCAAAATCGTAAATTTACTTAAAACATTATGAGCTTGTTTTGTGATTACATGTTGTAATGTATTTCATGTTTGGCCCAAGACAATTCTTCCAGTGTGGCTGAGACACCAAAAGGTTGGACATGCCTGTGGGCCTAAGCAATAGAAGAGCTTCGGGGTTAGGGGACACACTTAGGCGCTGGGAGGGCGGTGTGCCCAGAGGGGGCATGGAAATTCCACAGCCCCTCCCCATACCTTGCCCTGTGAATCTCTTCCGTCTGCCCCTTCCTGAGCTGTATCCTTTATAACAAACTTGATAGCGCATAAAGTGTTTTCCTGAGTTCTGTGAGTCATTCTCATTATCAAACCTAAACGAAAGGAGGAAAGTGGGAACTCCCAGGTTTTGTAGCCAACTCAGATGGAAGTGTGTCTCACCTGGGCACTCGACACTCACAACTGGCATCTGAAATGAGGGCAGTCCTGTGGGACTGAGCCCTCAAACCTGCGGCTTCTGACACGAACCCTGGGTAGTTAGCATCAGAATTGAACTGTAGGATACCCGCTGGTACTCACAGAGACTTGCATGATATGAAAACCCCCACATATTTGGTGTCAGAATTGTTAGTGAATATAGTTGATTTCTAACATACAGCAGGGACTGGATAGATGTTTGTTGAGTGAATGAATGAACTGCAAAGCCCAACAGTCAGCTAGGTCCAGGGGCTTGCCCACGGCATGAGGATTCTCATTTCTGCTCTCTGCAGCCTCAAACCCATGAGGTGGCCCCTCTGAACCAGGTTGAGTTTTGGAGACGGGGGTGGGAGCTGCTCTCTCCTGGTCACTCGAGTTAACAAGTTAACCTCCCCAAACCAGGTCTCTTGGCCAGCTTGGGCTCCATACCCACGCCTGAACCAATGACTGAACAAATGACTGAGGTCAGACAGATGAGGTCAAACATGCTGATTGGCTGGCAGGGAGTACATGCTCGCCCCTAGCTTAGGGACTGAAATCTGAGAGGTGACTGGTTCCAAAGAAAACGAGGTGTTTTCCGGAAGTGGGAGGTGATTGCAGCAATAACAACTGTGTCGTGCCCATTTTATCCTCAAAATCTCCCCAAAAGAAAGATGGAAGAATTAAACAAACTACCATTTGCAATGCCTGATGAAAGAATTGATTCAGTCTGTTGTGGTCACTGGACGAAGCCCTTGGTTTATTGAGTCTCACCCGTGACCACGGCCACCCCTTAGATCCACCTGGGTAGATGTAGGAAGTCCCTGTGCCCAGGCCACAGCCCAGTCCAATCAAATCAGAAGATGGGGAGATGGTGTAACCACAGAACCAGTGCCATCTGGTTCTGTCATGTTTCAAACGTCAACTGGTGGTTGTCGGTGCCAGTTCAACACCAATAGGAATCCCCCATTTGTAGTGCAGTGAAGAAGTACACTTTATTCAGTGCAAAACAGCTCTGTTGTGAGACAGCCCTGGGGCCAGGCCACTCTCCTAGTCAGCTCTGTTCCTTGCTAGTGTGCCCTGGTGTGCTCCATGTCAGCGCTGGTCTGCTCCATTCTGCTCAGCCAGGGAAATACGATCTTCAGTATTTAATGTAAAGAGGAAGTGTGCTCCCAGAGTTAGAGGGGAGCTGGCTCATATAGATAGAAATCCCCAGCCATGGCCCCTGATTGGTCTGTCCCCATGCAAATGAGGACTCCAAATCCTCGCAATTTGATTGGTCCAAAAGGCACTGATTGGTCAAAATAGAGCTGCTTTGATTGGTCAGAGCTTCACAGCTGTAATTAGATAAGGAAAGCCTCAATGTTGAAATAGTGGTTGAAATACTATTGCTTGAAATAGTATTCAAGAAACTCCTTTATAAAGGCTGGCTTATGCCATGGCTGCTGTGGCTCAGTGGATTGAGTGCTGGCCTGTGAAGCAAAGGGTTGCTGGTTTGATTCCCAATAGGGTCACACACCTGGGTTGTGGGCCACATCCCCAGTGGGGGGGTTTGTGAGAGGCAACCACACATTGATGTTTCTCTCCCTCTCTTTTTTCCCTCCTTTCCCCTCTGTCTAGAAAATCAATAAAATCTTAAAAAAAAAAAAAAAGAAAGAAAAAAAAGGCTGGCTTAGCTGATAGGAACACAGTGCAGGCAGGCAGTTCAGTGCAGAAGTGGGCAGTTCAGAGCAGGCTTCTTCCTGAAGTGCAGTGTGCGTGAGGGGCCCCTATGTAGAAGCGGCTATCAGGCTGTTTTTAAACATTTAAGTCCAGTGAGCTATTAGCAGCCCTTCTTAGTCGATGTCTTCCTTCCCAGGGTTCATGCAAGACCCAGGACCGAAGTCTAAACCTTGGCTACACCACTTGGAAGTAGCACTTGTGAACAGCACTCACAAGTGACCCTCATGAACTCTTAACTGCTCCCCACAACCGAAACGAAGGACCAGGACATGATTGGAATCTAAACGATGGAACACTTTCAAAAGAAAAGGGTCTGTTGTCCAGGAAGATCCAGTATTGAAACCCCTTAAGTCTTGTTCCAAACCCTGGATGGAGGAGACAGATTTGAGCGTTGCTTCCTCTCTCTTTGCTGGTGGACCTCTCAACAGAAGCCTTTTCCTTTTCTCAAAAGCTAGTGCCATAGTATTGGCTTCTGTGCCCATTAGGCCTTGCTTGGTAACCATGGGGTCCAGGCTTGAGTATTCTGTTAAGCTCCCAGGAAGCTCCAGTGGACAGCCAGGGCTGAGAACAAGTGATTTGTAGGAAATATGGGAGAGTGAGGAACCAGGTAAAGGCACTAGAGCAGCAGCTGCAGACCCAGAAGGTGTGGAATTCCCAGCATTCCACACTCTTCCTGCAACAAATCAAAGGGAGCTGGGGGAAGAGGAGGAAATCCAGAGCAGTGCTTCTCAAAGTGTATTCCCTGTGCCAGTAGCAGTGCCCGGGAACTTGGAAGGAATGTAGATCCCTGGGCCCCCTCCAGATCTCCTGAGTCAGAAACTCTGGTTGAGGGTGGGGGAGAGGTGGGCTCTAACCAAACATCCAGTGGACTCTAATGCATGCTCTGATTTCAGAACTACTGGATTGAAATACAAGGGATGTAGGAGACATGACAAACATGGCGTGTGCACCTTGTTTGGATCCCAATTCAAAGAAACCAAATGTAAAAAGACATTCTGAGCTAATCAGGAACATTCGATGAGGGCCTGCGTGTTCGGTGGTGCAAAGGAGGGCTAATTCTTTGGCCTCAAGCTGTTGTCTTCGTCCATTTGGGCTGTTCTGACTGAGTGCCATCGACTGAGTCATTTATAAACAACAGGCATTCATTTCTCACAGTTCCAGAGGCTGAGAAGTTCAAGACCAAGGAGCCAGTAGATTCAGTGCCTGGTGAGGACCAGTTTCTTAGTTCGTAGGTGAATCTTTTTCCTACTATGTCTGCACATGGTGGGAGGGGTGAGGGAGCTCTCCGGGGTCTCTTTTACAAGGGCACTAATCCCATTCATGAGGGTCCCATGAACTAATTACCTCCCAGAGTCACACCTCCTAACAGCATCACCTTGGGGATTAGCTTTCAACATATGAATTTCGAGGAGACGCATGTATTCAGTCTGTTACTGTAATGGCATTAGAGTTGTGAACACATATGCACATATTTTTAAAGATATGTACTGATGTATGAATGGGTAAAAATAACATTGGTGTTTGTTTTAAATTCATCAAGGGGGAAAAATGGGATAATTAAACAAGTAATGTCAAACTCTTGGTGACTGCTGAGTCTGAGTTAGGCGTATATGGGGGTTTCTTTGAACAAGTTACCTTTTGTGAAAATTTTAGATTTTTTTTCACATAGTAATTTATAAAACAAGACTGGTGGGTGCATAAGGAGGCAGGCAGGTCATCTCACTCAGGTACGTGGAACTGAAATCATTGCCAGCCAGTGTGGAAAAGTAGAGCGAAGGAGGAAGGAATCAGATGACAGGCGTTTCCCAGATCTGTATTCTCAGTCTCCCTTCAGAAAGCAGCGAGTGCCACAGGGAAGCAGAAGCCAGGCCACAGCCCCAGCAGCCCCAGGAGCCCAGGCGTCCAGTCCTCCCCGGGCCTGTCACCCCAGCTCCACAAACAGCAACAAGGTGGTAAGAATCCCTGGCAGCTGGAATGGAGAAGAAAGGAACGCTGAATCAACTTTAAGGAGTTCTGGAACCTGAATCAAATGGATACGCAGAGATGGAGAGCACCCTGTTCCAGGAAGGTCAGGGGCAGGGTTCTACAGATGGCGGAAGCTACCAAGTTGGAGATAGTTTGGGCCAAGCTGGAGATAAAAGGACCACGTGGGGGCTGATTCCCGCTGGGACCCTGACTGTTACTCCCTCCTTGTGGAAGAGGCTGTGGTATAGTTTGCAAACACATATTTAGTATAAATTTGTACAGTAAAAAATACCCACTTTTAAATTACAGATCAGACAGATGAAACTCATCCATATCTTGGCTGGTGGTGATCTGCAGAAAAACACTGCTACGTACTGAAAAATCAGTGTGGGGGAAGCATATGGGGGAAACTTCCTGAGGGCTCAAAGGGCCAGAGAATGTTTCTTAAACAACAGCTTTATTGAGATGTAATTTGTATACCATACAGTTCACCTTTCTAAAGTATACAGGTAAGTGGATCAAGTTAATCCCTTTACTTGAAAAAAATTATTTTCTTTTTTATAAAAAATTTTTAAAAAGATTTTATTTACTTATTTTTAGAGAGAGGGAAAGGGAAGGAGAAAGAGAAGGAGAGAAACATCAATGTGTGGTCGCCTCTCACATGGCCCTCACTGGGACCTGGTCTGCAACCCAGCATGTGTCCTGACTGGGAATCAAACTGGTGACCCTTTGGTTCAAAAGATTGTGCTCAGTCCACTGAGCTATGCCAGCCAGGAATAATCCCTTTACATTTAATGTACTTGCTGAGAAGGTGGCATTTATAACTGTCATTTTGTTGTTCATTTTCTGGGTGCCTCTCTTGCTGCTGTTTTTTTTCTTGTGTGCGTCCACCAGGGCTCCTTCTGCGTCAGGTATTTCCTGGTGCACCCCTTTCACTCCCTTGCTGTTTCTTTGACTATGTTTTAAAGTCACTTTCTTAGTGGTTGCCCTGGGGATTTCAATGAACATCTTTCCTTTTCACAATCAAGTTTGGATTGAGATATGTTAATTTCAGTGGCCTGCAAAAAACTTTGCCCCTGTATAGTTTGTTTACTTCAGCCTTCTTTGTGCTGTTTTTGTCATGTGAATTACATCTGAATATAAGTCATCAACACAGTTTTATAGTTATTGCCTTATGCAATTATCTTTAAATGAGATAGGAGAAGAAAAGTTTTAACAAAAAAGATGTTCTCCCTGGGGCTTATCTGAACTTAGCCCGAGCAGCAGTCCGCTCCCTGGGCAGGCTCAGGGACGAGCACAGCTCCTGTGCACCGTGTTTCCACGGTGAGTGGCCTCTGAGCGTCGGTAGTGGTGCGTGAAGAACTCATCACCTCGTCCCTGCCTTGGGTAAGACTTCTCTCTCCAGTCGATGACAATAACGTCCCAGAACCAAAGGGCACTGGGCAAAGCCCCTGGTGCACTCCACTGCATGAATGCCTAACAACAACGGGTGGCCCACCTCACAAGTGAGGGAGGCTGTGGTCCCGACTCACAGCCAGACAGCCGGTGAGCGGCATGACTGGGGCAGAGTCCAGAGACCCCCGCTTGCCAACCCAGGCCTCGCACTGGAGAAGTGTAGGCCAGACTCACCAGCGGGATGAAGAGAGCTTATCCCCAGGGTCAGCTGTTTCTCACCCGAATCAGGCCTGAGGGCCCCAGCTCCCACATGCCCTCCACGTTCTTCCAAAGTGAACCATGAATGAGATCACCCTGCTTCAAATCACCTCCCCAGTTCTGTATTTCCCCTGCACACGTATCACTATAATACAGTACATTATCCAATTCCAAATCATATTTCTTGTCTGTCCTCTACAGCAGAGACGTTTGTTTCTTTAATTCAAAGATCTATCCTGAGAGCCTACGACAGTGCCGGGACATAGTACCGTATTTTGCCGGGTATAATGCACTCCCATGTGTAATGCACACTCACACAATTTTGGTCCAGACTTTCAAAAAAAAAAACAACTTTCATTTTAATTTTTAAATTCAATTATTTATTTATTTATTTATTTATTTATTTATTTATTTATATTGAGAAACAAAACTGATTGCTGTATTCCAGGATATTATTTTGCATGTGGATATCATTATTGCTTCCTGGAGTTCCATTTTTAATGCCTAAGCATAACTAAAAGAATTAAAAACATGTATATAGAGATGGAATTAGTACTACTGATATATAACACATCCTTATTTTTCCCTCAAAAATTTGGGCAAAAAGTGCACATTATATATGGCAAAATGCAATAGGTGCTCAATAAAGTTTGGGGAGTAAGGAGAAGGAATGTTAGACCTGACTGGAGTGGCTCAGCAGACTGAGTGCCGACCTGCAAACCAAAGGGTGGCCTGTTCAATTCCCAGTCAGGGCACATGCCTGGGTTGCAGGCCACATCCCCAGATGGGGGCACATGAGAGGCAATCACACATTGATGTTTCTCTCCCTCTCTTTTTCCCACCCTTCCCCTCTGTCTAAAAATAAATAAACAAAATCTTTAAAAAGAAAAAAGAAAAGAGGAAGGAATGATAAAACCTCTCTGCTGGCTTCCTGTCATACTCAGGATAAAGCCAAGCCCCTCTCTGCAGCCCCCAAGGCCTTATATGATCTCGTCCCCTCATCTCCCTGTACCACCCTCCTCATTCATCCTGCAGCCACAGGAGCCTCCCAGCTGGTCCTCAAACAAGCCAAGCTTATCCTGGGATTAGCACCTCAGGGCCTTTGCACCACCTGTTCCCTCTGCCTCCCTGCCATACACACACATGGCTGTTCCTCACCTCCTCAGACAGCCCCTCGCTAATCTCCCCCATTCCATCACCGTGTTTTGCTGCCTCCCCACTGGAATGGCAGTGTCACATTGCAGGGATTTTTGTCTTTTTGTCACTATTGTGTCCTCAGGGCTCAGAACAGTGCTTGGCACACAGCAGGTGCTCAGTAAAAGAGCCTGTGTAGCCCGGGAAACTGGGCCTTACCTGTACCACTGCTGCCCCCAGCGAGCCCCAACTCAGGCGGAAGCTCTGAGTCTCAGTTATTTTCAGGAGCATGGGAAAACAGCCCTGCAGATACGAATGCCGAAGCAGGCAGGGCCCGGTTAGGGGATCGCAGGCTCCCAGGCCCCATCGCTACCCACCCTGTTCAGGCCATACAAACTGCTCTCAGATTCAGGGAGCATCAAGGGACCAAGCCACAAGGACCTTGGTGCTCCTTCTCATTTGACTGCCCCCCAACACTCCAGCATCTTCCCAGCTTCCTCATTCTTCCCAAACCCCCACCAGAATACTCCTCTGTGCCCACTGGTGCTGGCATCCAACTGTGGAGAGAAAGAGTACAGCCAGATGTCCGAAGGTATTACTAGCTGTGTGACCTTGGAGAGGTCACTACTCCTTTCTATGCCTCAGTTTCCCAACTATAAATGTGGATTAAAATAAAGAATCTAGCCCTTGCTGGTGTGGCTAAGTGGATTGAGTGCTGGCCTGTGAACCAAAGGGTCACTGATTCCATTCCCAGTTGGGGCACATGCCTGGATTGTGGACCAGGTGCCCCGTGGGGGCATGTGAGAGGCAGCCACACATTGATGTTTCCCTCCCTTTCTCCTTCCCTTCCCCTCTCTCTAAAAATAAATAAAATCTTAAAAAAAAAAAAGAAAGAATCTATACAAATATATAGTAGTGGCCTGACACAGGGCCAGCCTTCAGGAACTATTAGTTATTTCTGAGTGTTCCTTACATGTGAACAGTGGGGCTAACATGTGTCCAGCACCTTCTCGCTCATGTCTCACTACTACCCCATGAGGCAGGTGCTCTTTTTCTCCATTTTATAAGTGAAGAAACTGAGGCTCACACAGACGAAGAGACCGGACACAGTGGGTGAGCAGAGCAGCCTCCTGCTGGTGATGGGGCCTCCACCTCCCTTGCTGTGGCCACTCAGGTGCCCCCGCCTTCCAGGCCCCTGGTGCTTCTTGTTTCTGGGAGCTTGGGCTACTCTGAACTCACTGTTGGCAGTTCAGTGCCCCACCCTTCACTTAGTAAACATTTATTAAGTGCCTACTGAATGCTGGGCACTGGGTGCTAGGTACCCAGAGATGTATAAAACAAAATTCTTGCCTTGGTGGGGCTGGCATCTATGTGGTGCAGACAGGTAAGAGGTACTGATTGGGTGCTGGACAGACACCGAAGCAGGATCAGGAGCTGGAGGGGGACGGTGATTTGGGGGGAGATCCTTTCAGAGAGAGGGAGTCTGGAACAGTCTCACCAAGGAAGGGACAATGGAGACAGACTAGAAAGAAGTGAGGTAAGAAGACATTTAGGGGAACAGAATTCTAGGCAGAAGGAACAGTCTTTGCAAAGGCCCTGAGGCTGGTGTGTGCCTGGTGTGTGTGTGCTGCAGTGCGGAGGCTGGTGTGGTTACATCGGAATGAGTGAGGGAGTAAGTGGGAGGGGAGGCGGTTGTGCAGGGCCCAGTGGGCCGGCGTGTGGCCCATGTTTGTCTCCAAGGCCCTGGCCTGGGCCTCAACCTCACCAATTCCACAGGATCTGGCTCCCAGCATTCATTAATAGGAATTAATGAGTGATTTCTGTTTCTTCCCTCAGAGAAGATCACTGTGTTCATTGACCCATGATATATGTCCAGAGGAAGCTGGGGTGGGGTTTAAAGCCAAGCTCCACCACTCCCTCACTGTGGGAAGCTCTCTGTGCCTCAGTTTTCTCATCTGTAAAATGGGAGATGAGCCTGGAACCATGTGATGGGAATTGAATACAAAAAGTAAATGCCCGATCACATGGGCTTCCTTATTAAGATGATCACTTCTCATTTCTATTGTAGTTTAAATTCTTTGTACTGCAGGCAGTGTGGCTCAAGCAACACACTCAGGCCAATGTGGATGCAAATCCCAAAGCCAAGTGACCTTGAGCCATTCACGTCCCCTCCTTGAGCCTCACTCTCCCCATGTGTGAAACAAAGATGGTAACCCTGACTTCCCACAGCTGTGCAGACCAAGTGGGACAGACACCCAATGACAGTGCATTTCTCTCTCCCCCAACCCTTTTTGGCTGGAGTCCCCACAAATATGCAATTTTTATCAAAGCCACCAGCCCTCAGGGTCTACCAGGGGTCGGCCAACAAAACCCTGAGGCACCTCCTGGTAGATGACGTCTGCAGACACGTCGCGCCCGTTGCAGGCTGCGGCCCCGATGGGTTTGCAGCAGCTCCTGGGGTAGGCGTAGCCGGTCCTCATTTCAAAGGAGGAGCCAGAGAAATCTGTGTAGTTCTTCACCCCACAGCACTTCAGCTGCAGAGAGGGAAATAAACACTTGAAGACTTTCTTTCAAATATTAAAATAACAAAACAATAGAAATCATGGTCACCATGGCTACTGTCTAGAGCAGTCACAATATTCCAGGGCCTGGGCTGAATGCGTCCCTCACCCCCACCCCTGTCATGGCTCAGAAACCCTCACGGCTCTCATCTCACTTGGGGTTGAAGCTGAACTTCTTGCCTTGGCGCACGTGGCCCTGCATGACCTTCCCTGCCACCTGGGCCCTCATCTCTGCCCACTCTCCCTTTTACTCATTCAGCTGTAGCACCACTGGTCTCCTTGATGTTTCTCAAACACAGTTAGCAAGTGCCAGCCTCAGGGCCTTTAAATGGGCTGTTCTCTCTTTTTGGAATGCTGTTTTCTCCAATATCTAGAGGACTCTCTCCTTCACTCCATTCAGATCTCTGTTCAAATGTCCCTCCTCAGAAAGGTCTGCTCTTACCCTTCCTAATAAGTTAGTCACAGCCACTGTATCAGTCAGGCTGACCTAAGTGATGCTGCATAACAAACAGTTCCTCATCTCCGCCATTTCCCTTTATACCACATGCCCATCACAGCTTGGCAGGGGAACTCTGTTTATCAAAGTTCACTCGAGGACTCAAGTGGATGGAGCAATGGAGTTATTGTTCCACTACTGTGGCAAAATAAAAGAGCTTCAGAGACCCTGGCACTGACAGTTAACTGACTTGGCCTGGAAATGACACACATCACTTGTGCTTACAGCTTACCGGCCAGAACTCATCACGTGACCTTCAGCTAACTTCCAGGAGGCCAGGACAGGCCATTCTACTGTGTGTTGAAAATAGGTGACAGATAGCACTGACAAATCAGAAAACCCCTTGCTCTCTGCATTGTTTTTTGCTCCCCTGCCTTGTTTTTCCTCATAGCACTTCTCACCCCTTATGCCAATGTTTACTTGGTAAACATCTCCCCTCTCAAGTATCAGCAACGGAATGGCAAGAATTTTGCTTCTGTGCCCAGGTGTGTCACCAGAACCCTGAAGATTGCCTAGCACTTAGTAAGTGCTCAATAAAGATTAGTTGAAGGGCTGCATGAATGAATGAGAGATGTTCTCTACTGTCTCAAGCTTAAGAAGCCAAAACTGGGATGCAGGCAAGCCCTCTGCTCACTGCATGCGCCTCCCAAACCCCAGAGCGGTTCCTGGACCCGAGACTAAGATGTGGAAAGATGTGAAGCACCCCTGAGAACAGGCAAGGGCTTCCCCTTCCAAACCCTCCCTGACCTTGGCCTCAGAGGAGCTTAGCTGACACAAGGAGGCCGGTCCTGCTCCTTAAGTGACCAAGATTTAAACTGTCAGTCTCATTAGCTCATACCAGGCAGACAACTACTGTAAAAAAAAAAAAAAGGATGTTGGCAAGAACGCAGAGAAAGTGGAACCCTCGTGCTTTGCTGACGAGAATGTAAAATGGTGCAGCTGCTGTGGAAAATGGCGTGGAAATTCCTCAAAATAAGTTAAGCACAGAACTGCCATGTGATCCAGCAATTCTACTTTGGGAGGTGCACCTAAAACGACGATTTTTCAGCCAGGGTGCCACAGCAGGCACGCTGGTGTGAGGCATGAGTTCTTAAAACACGCCAGCACGCGATGCCTGACTATTCAGTCAGGGGCACTGATCTCTTTTCCCTTCGATCATCAAATAAAAAATGACAACGCCAACACAACAGCTGTTGTCTGGTGGGAATGCATCAACTCATATTTAGTTTTTTGTTAGGTCAGCAAAAAATATCCATTTTTGGTGTGTTACAGGTCTTAGTAATTAGTTTATGTGTGCCACGAGGTGAGAAAGGTTGAAAATCACTCGCCCAGAAGGATTGAAAGCGGGGTCTTGCGCAGCCGAGCAGGGTTCGCACACCCAGGCTCACAGCAGCCTTGCCCACAGGTCCGAAAGGTGGGGACAACTCCAGTGTCCTTTGATGGATGAGTGGATAAACACAGTGTTTTATATCCAGACAACGGAACATTTTTCAGCCTCAAGATGGAAGGCAGTTCTGACACCTGCTGCAGCATGAGTGAACCCTGAGGACGTTTTGCTGAGTGAATAAGCCAGTCCCAAGAGGACAGACACGGTGGAATCTCACTCACGGGAGGTCCCTGGAGTAGTCAGATCCACAGTGACAGGAAGTAGATGGTGAGGGCTGGGACTGGGGTGGGGGCGCAGTCAGTGTGTAATGGGGGCTGAGTGTCAGTTTAGTTTGGGAAGGTGAGAAAGTTCTGGAGATGGGTAGTGAGGATGGCTGTGCAACAGTATGAATGTACTTAATGCCACTTAAAAATGGTCAAGATGGTAAATTTTATGTTATGTGTGTTTTACCACATTATAAAAAGATGTGAATCTTGGCTAGTGTGGCTCAGTGGATTGAGTGCCAGCCAGTGAACCAAAGGGTCGCCGGTTTGATTCCCATTCAGGGCACATGTCTGGGTTGCAGGCCAGATGCCCAGTGAGGGGGTGCATGAGAGGCAACCACACACTGATGTTTCTCTACCTCTTTCTCCCTCCTTTCCCTTCTCTCAAAAGTTAAATAAATAAAGGCTTTAAAGAAAAAAAAAGATGCGAATCTCACCTTTTCCATAACCAAGTTCCAGTCCATGGAATAGTCATCTGGCTCATTGTAACCTCTGTAACTCTTCTTCAGGGCCACAGAGTTGTGTTCCAGGGTCTGTTGTTGAACCTCAAAGATGGAACAGGAAGCATGAACACACAAAATAACCAGGTGCTACCCTGGCTGGCATGGCTCAGTTGGCTGGGCACAGTCCCGCAAAGCAAAGGGTTGCTGGTTCAATTCCCTGTCAGGGCACATGCCTGGGCTGCAGGCTCAGTCCCTGGACAGGGCATTTATAAGAGGCAGCTGATCGATGTCGCTCTCACACATGATGTTTCTCTCCCTCTCTCTTTTTTTTAAAGATTTTATTTATTTATTTTTAGAGATGGAAGGGAGGGAGATAGAGTGAGAGAGAGACACATCAATGTGTGGTTGCTGGGGGTCATGGCCTGCAACCCAGGCCTGTACCCTGACTGGGAATTGAACCTGCAACACTTTGATTCGCAGCCCGCGCTCAATCCACTGAGCTACGCCAGCCAGGGCTCTCCCTCTCTTTCTCTCTCCCTCCCCCCGCTTCTCTATAAATAAATAAATAAATAAATAAATAAATAAATAAATAAATAAATAAATAAATCCTTTACAAAAATAGCGAGGTGCCCCATTTGGGAAGGCTTCTCGGGGACAAAGTGAGGAGGTGGGGGTTTCCCTTCTGCCTTCCTCATGGTCCCTCCCCTGGGCTGTGGGTCTGCGCTGGAGGATGACAAATTCAGGCTACCGTCAGCCCTGAGAGGGACACGGGGACAGCGTGGGTCTCCGAGTCGAGCGCATCTGGTCGCATCCACCGCAAACCGGTTTGAATCATCTGCCCTTTCCAATCGCCCACACACCCACTACCCTCCTCCTCATTCAGTCGTAACTCGATTAAAGACTAGAATATCATTGCCAGCAACTGAACCTCTCTCGCTCTCTGCACAAAAAAAGGAACAAATTTACCTTTCTATTTTTTTAGTAAAGGTCTAAATTTTAAAAAATATCCCCGGAGAGGTGATACAGTCGCATGGTTCAAAATTCACAAAGCACAGAAGGGCAGACCATGAAAACTCCCCCTCCCACCTCTTCCTCCCAGCCAAGTTCCTCCCACCCCACGAAGACAACTGTCACGGTTTCCTGTGTCCCCAAAGAAACATTCTATGTGTGTCAAAGCAAGTGTACGCTGCTATTTTTCTCCTTGCTGTGTACCACTCTCGTTCTACACCTGGCCGCTCTCTAATAAGTGTAGCAACTGCTCTTGGCTCCCTGCTCGTGTCCCAGTGGCCTTCGCCAGTTCTGTGCACGCTGTGCCGGCTTCCCACTGCCTGCAAGCAGGGCCTTCTGTGGCCTTTCAGCCACGTGCATCCTGGGAGCAGCACTCAAGCCACAGCTGATGGGAGGTGGTGGGTCAATGCCACAGCTCCCTGGCCCCTTGAGTGGAAAAACAGACTCGTGTTCTGCGTGGTGTCCCCGATGTCCCCCGGCATTGTGGGCCAGAAGCCCGCAGTGTCACCTTTTATGGACTGAATTCCCTTCTCTGACTCACTTCCTTGTCCCCTACATGTGCTTCTTGGGATCAGGCCTCAGATAAACCAGGAGCCTTCAAATTCCCACCTCAGAGCCAGCCTCTGGTGGGACTTGAATGAGGACACGGCTAGGTCCTGAAGAACACACCATCTCGTTCACAGAGGGCCTTCCCCTTCCTCCCTCCTCCTGCATCGGGCTCTCGTGATGGTTGCTATAAACTGCCCCCCGGTAATGTTCACTAGGCCGGAGGCAATCTTCTGCACACGCCGGTATATGTCATTCTGTCCAGGAACAAGCACATCTTTGGATCATTCCTAAAAATGGGATGGTTGGGCCAAAGCATCTGTCTGTCATTTGGATGGATTTTGCTAAAGCTCCCTCTGTTTTCAGCGCATTTCAAAAGCCCCAACAACTTTTACAGCTGTTCCCATTACTTCCTACCACCCCACTGCCAAAACCAGGAGAGATGGTCAAAGTAACTTGGCCAGTTCCTTGAGGCCTCTGAGGGGATGGCTGAGGTCTGGGGAGGCACTCATCTCTGAAGGCCCCATCTCCCTTCCCAAGGACCTGTGGTCCCACTCTCACAGGATCTGCAGAGCCTGAGGGCTTCCCGCCTAGGGTGCGGGTGTGGGGGCTTCTGTTGATTCTGTTTTTTCTAATGTGAAAGAGGGAGAAGCAGCACTGGACTCACAGTTGGGAGGAAGGCGAGGACCACTGTGGCGATAACGGATTCCGCAGTGATGATGACAGCCATGAACAAGAAGTACTGGAAGACACAGAGTGGGGCGGATGGGGGCTGGGAGCCTGCTGGGCGGCCCTGCCCACCCAGGCCACGTGACCTCCGGGTTTGCAAGAACTCACACCCAGTGGGGTAAGGGGTGTTGTTTCCTTCATGTGTCACTTTCCTATGTGTTGTCTGGGATGCCGGCAGTCGGGTATTCTTAGGAGCCAGCTGGCTGGACCTCCTGGCCACGTTCAACACTTTGTGGGTGTCATGGAGGCTTATGTGGGGACCTCTGGGTGAAGCAAAGGCTGTACGCTGCAGAGGTCGAGGCGGGGTGGGGTGAGGAGGGCAGAACGGAGGTGGGACGAGGGGGAGCCTGCAGCTCGCCTACGTAGGAGCAGGGGTGACAACTGAAGGGGAGGGACAGGGGGTGCCCGGAAGAAAATATCAACATTTGCTGACTAGCGCCTCCAAGAAATTCACTTGCACAGGGGAAAACAATGGGGAAGCAGAGGGGAAGTCTTCAAGTTACCCACTAAGGAGAAACTGCCTCCCTCCCTGCACCTCTGTTTCCCCATCTGTACAATATACAGATCCAGCCCCAGGGCTCATGGTGGGATCTGTGGAACTTCTTGAGGCCAGATGGGGGCAAAGTAAGATCAGCTCCTGGCTTCCCTTTCATCTATTTCCATTTACGCTTCTTCTTCTTCTTACTGACCTTTTTGATAATTTAGGCTTTGAGTCACCAGGCTGGCCAATGGCAGGGCTTATCTGGCCTTGACTCGGAGAGGCAAGAAAGTGCAGTGGATACACCCTGGGGGTCCCCACAACCCACAGGGGTCCACTGCATGCCACCTGCACTAGCACAGAGCCTCTGCACTGGTCTCCCCACACTGTTCCCCCCAAACTGTTCCCCCCACGGACAGCAGAGGGCACCCATGAGCATCTAAGTCTGGCAAGTTGCTTCTCTGCTCAGAACCTTCTGTGACTCCCAACGCCATCAAAAAGACTTTGCTTTTGTGAGTGAGGTCTCAGAGGCTTTGGAAGGACAGATGGATTTGCAGATGGGTTGGATGTGGGATGTGAAAGAGAGCACTCAGATTCCTCCAAGTTAAAGTATGGATAAAATAGAGTCCACGTCATATTAAAGATAAAATGAAATATTTCAGGCACAGGGCATGCTCATAAATATTTGCTGAATGTAATTAAGAAAGAAATGAGAGATGATGGAGCTCCAGGGAGGAGGAGGGTGGGGGCAGGGTACTCTAGGAGATGACTCGAGTAAGACTCCCCCTGAACCCCCCAAATGAAATAACTGAAGATTTGTAGCAGCGCAGTGGAGGGAGGAAAACAAACACACTGGAGACAGATTACACATGAGGTGGGATCATCTGCGCAGACCAGACTTTAAGGGGCGTGGGAACGGGGAAGCTGGGAGCTACATTTGGGGAACTGTTTAGCCAAGGCTGTGTGTGAGAATAAGGCATGTAAAAACCGGAGACATGCCATCTGCATGGTCATGCTTGGAACTTTTATACCCCATGTTCTTGAACATGTACTTGTGCATGCGTGAGGACTACAACAGCGTCGCGTTATCAGGGTGGGAAAAGCAGCCTGCTCGGGGCAGGCGCAAAGACAGTGGGAACCCGTGTAGACAGAGGAAGGCCAGAAGGGCCGCTCGGTCGGGGCGAAAGTATGTCACTGACTGGGACAAAATGAAATCACATCCCTACCTCACACCACATACGTGGTGAAACTCCCAAGGGCTACAGACCTAACAGTGAGAAAACACACTTAAAATTATGGGACGAAAACCTGAGACAGTATAATGTACGCCCGTGGGCAGGGAAGGAGTTCTAAGTGAGACACAGCACACAGGAAAAGACGGATGTCTTGATGCCGTTGTTTGTGGGACACCACAAACTCTGTAAGCCGGAGGATGGGAGAGATGTGCAGCGCGAGCAGGGAGGGGTTTTTATGTGAGGGGAGAGTTTTGGGGTCTGCATACAGACCCAACTTACAAACAAGAGAATGCACGTGCTTTCCTTGATCGTCCCGTACCACCCGATGAAGCCAAGCAACACTGAGCTGCAGCCCAGCACCAGACACAGGTGGGCCACGTGGAGCAGGTTTGTAGGGGACAGCCCTAGGACTCCTGTGAGCGCAGCCCCTTTGAACTTGACATAGATACCCAGGCCAATGAGGGCCACGCCAGACATCTTTAGAACAGAAATCAGAGAGGGAAAGCCAGTCTGTTAGTTGTACACAAATAGAGCTCTCGGGGGGTGGGGAGAGGGAGGGAGGAGGAGAGTAGAGGCCAATAAAATTAGCAAAAACATTTAAAAAATGATAATATCTTGGGATAGTGAGGATGTAGAAAAACATTCTGATACACTGCTGCCAGGCAACAAACTTGTGTGTGGGGTGGGGAGGAGGAGGACACTTGCAATTTATATTTAAACCTTAAATGTTTCATGGTGAAAAACCTTATTCTATTTCTAGGTGTTCAGCCTAAGGAAAACAGTCACGCATTTGGCTCAGTACCAAGAAGTTCATTAAGGACAAACATCAACACTTACTATAGGAATCAATGAGACAGAGCATGTTGGTAAATCATGGGATCCATGTAACAAGACCAGAGACTGTTACTTTACGCGACACCGTGGGGCAGGAGATGGCAATTTTTTCCTGAAAAGCCCCAGATATTTTGGGCGTTGTAGGCTGTAAGGTCTGCTTTGAGCCAGTGTAGCTCAACAATAGCCCTATTCAATTTGTAAACAATTTTTTAAATTTACAAATACATTTTATGTATCAATCTATCTGTCTATCTATCTGGCTGTACTTTGCTGACCTCTATTGTAGCAACATGTTTTATTAATACAAAAAGATGTTTTCAATGCCTTAATAAGTTTTTAGAAACTGGATTGTCGCCCTGGTTGGTGTGACTCAGTGGATTGAGCACCGGCTTGCAAACCAAAGGATCACCAGTTCGATTCCCCATCAGGGCACGTGCCTGGGTTGAGGCCAGGCCCCCCAGCTGGGGGTGCGCGAGAAGCAACTGGTTGATGTTTCCCTCCCTCTCTTTCCTCCTTCCTTCCCATCTCCATAAAAGTGAATAAATAAAATCTTATTTTAAAACGTGGATTGTCAGCGGTCAGGCCCTTTGGTATTTGCTCAACGGAGCTGAAAACTTACGCCCACACGCAGACCCGAGAGACTGGAGGCCCTGCAGCAGGGTTTCCCAAGTCGCTGCGTGAGGATTGTCGCCCCACCGGAGGCCTTCACGTGCGGCACGCAATTTGCATAAAGTTTTACACGTGCAAATTGGGTATATAAACAGTTCCCTGCTTTTCTAAGAGAATGCAATAAATGCGGTGTTGGGAATAAGTATTTTTAAACACTAAAATATTTCTAGCAGCTTTATTCATAATTGCCCAGGATTGGAAGCAACCAAGATGCCCTCCAGCAGGTGAACGGACAAATAAACTGTGGTACATCCAGGTGGTAGAATATTAGCGCTAAGTAGAAACGGGCTTTCAAGCCACGGAAAGGCACGGAGGAGCTTTGCAGGCATATCGCCGCAAAGCTGAAAAGGCCACCGACCGGGTGCATGGTTCTGTGCGCACACAATTCTGGGAAAGTCAAAACTAGGGAGACAACGTAAGGATTGGTGGCTGCGGGGATTAGAGGGGAGGGAAGGATGAACAGGCAGAGCACAGAACGTTGTTAGGGCAGGGAAACTCCTCCGAATGGCAGCAATGTCAACCCGTGTGCCAAAGGAATTTGTAAAACACGCAATACCTGACTGTTTCGTCAGGGGCACTGACCTCTTTTCCCTTAGGTTGTCAAAAGAAAAAGAAAAAAGACAACAGCCAACACAACAATAGCGTCTGGTGTGACTGAAACAGAATTATACCTATTTTTTGTCAGACTGGTAAAATGTATAATACGTTTTTTGGTGTGTTGCAAAACGTTGGTCATTAGTTTACGTGTGCCGTGAGAGTGAAAAGGCAGGCCATCGCCGCCATGGGGCACTAAACCGGCGGCTCTGTCGTCCCGGCTGCAGAAGGCACAAACTCAGCGCTGTGCGAACTGTGGGCGGCACGGGCAATGACGTCAGTGCCGGCTGGTCAGTTACCGCGCACTCTCTGCGGGGCCGTGCGCACGGAGGGCCGGGAGGGGTACGGGAAATCTGTTTATCTTCTGTTCAGTTTTGCTGGGAACCTATAACTGCTGTAAAAAAATAAAGTCTATTCAAAAGAGTGTAAAGTTCATTTTTTAAAATTGATTTTAGAGAGAAAGAGAAACATCAGTGTGTTGTTTCACTTATTTAAGCATTCATCGATTGATTCTTATATGTGCCCTGACCTGGGATCTAACCCACAACCTTGGCATAATGATGAATGGCCTAACCAACTGAGTTACCTGGCCAGGGCTAAAGTTAAAAAATTTTTAAAATCCTCACCCTGAGGATATGTCCATCAATCTTTAGAGAGAGGAATGGAGAGAGAGAAACATTGATGTGAGAGAGAAGCATCGACCAGTTGCCTCCTGTACGCACCCCGACTGGGAATCAAACCCTAAACCTAGGTATGTGCCCTGACTGGGAATTGAACCCATAGCTCTTTGGTGCGTGGGATGATGCTCCAACCCCCTGAGCCACACTGGCCAGGGCTAACATCAAAAAGTTTTTTAAAGGTAAAAAAGTGGATTGTAAAGTAACAGCATCCCATGTTTGTTACACTGTTTTTAAAAGGAATATAGAAAAGTCTGGAAAGATCTAACGATGATTTTTGTTGAGCTATGTTCTCACGATAGGCATAAGCCCTTTAAATGCACTGGCTCCTCTAATTCCCATCAAAATGTCACAGCACAGGTAACAAGAGGAGGGATACTTAATATTCTTCTCTTTCCTGGTAGCCTGTCCTTATAACTGTTCTACTATAAAAAACAATGACTTCTTGAACAATGCACATTTCAAGTTATTTTTATATAAGAAAAAAATGTTGCCCTCGCAGGTGTGGCTCAGTGGACTGAGCGCCAGCCTGAAAACTGTAAGGTCACCAGTTGGATTCCCCGTCAGGACACATGCCTGGGTTGTAGGCCAGGTCCCCAGCTGCGGGCGTGCTAGAAGCAACCGGCTGATGTTTCTGTCTCACATCGATGTTTCTCTCCCTCTTTCTCCCTCCCTTCTCCTCTTTCTCAAAATAAATAAATAAAATCTTTTTCTTAATGTTATGTAAAATTTAAAGGACAAAAAACAACCACTCCGTCCTACCCTTCCAGAACAATTTCGTTTTCTGCAGGATTTGAGCTCTCCCTCCACTGCCTCTGGGCTCCCAGCTCACACTCCTCTGTGATTTTCACCGGCTCTGGGTCAGCAGAGGCTACGCCTGTTCCGGCATGTCCCGCTCCGCGTCAGTTTGCCCTACATCCCTCCTGCTTCCCTGGGGACCGCAGATCTGGATGCCAATGAATTTGGATCAACTTATTTCTGTCTTCGAGGGAGTTAGCCGTGGAGGAAGGGCTACAAAGCCTGGGGGCCTGGGTTGTGACATACTTACAGCTATGAAGCCATTCAGGAAAATTGACAATTTCTTCAAGAAAGAACAGTAAGTGTGGTTTTCAGCCATGTTGGCCAGACTGGGGTGCCCCGGACATTTAAGTTGGCATCTTCCTAACCCTCTGGGCTACTGTTTCCTGTGATGGCAGAGGTCTGGGGTGAGGGGGCAGCACAACTGACTTGCTCTGCCCCTCCCTGTCCTGGCTGCCTGACCATCTGCAGGGGAAGGGTCTAACTGCTACCCCTCTTCAGTCATAAGCCTTTATCACATCACAATTGGATGTCGGAGCAAGACTTCTGGTGCCAGGGAAGCAGGTGCCCCAAACTGCCATCCTGCTGGCCCCTCCAAATAGGATGCACAAGGGGTGGAAAAAGACATGGTGTGCCTCCCTGGTACCCGCAGCTGCTACCAGGGTCATGTGAGTCAAGTGCCCAGCACTGACCACTTATGTGGTTGATGCTCCCTGCTAGACTGGGGGCTCCAAGGGGAAGGGGCCTTGGTTCTCCTATTCACAGCTGTATTCCCAAAGCCCGATCCACACAGTAGGTGCTCGAGAAACCAGTGTGGGATAAATGAATCAAGAGGCACCCACCATGACCTAGGGATCTATCTACAAGCCACCAGGTCCCCAAAACCCCTGCCCACACACTAGCTCATTTGGGTCACCCTTCTCACAAGGCCCAGAGAGGCTGAACTAACTGCTTGAGGTCACACAGAAAGCAGAATCGTTGAAGCTGCGACAGTGTCCTGAAATTGGGAACCTGTGACTCCTGTCCGAGAGCCCATCTTTTTCCAACTGAGGCTCATTTAGCCAGAGCTGGTGAGGTGGTCGTCCTTGAACTCACGTGTCGTTGGTCACTGGGACTTTCTTTATGATAACAGAGACATAGAGAGCACTTCAGGGCAGAAATTGTGTGTGTGGGCAGAAAGCCCACAGGCTCAGCTCCTGCAGCCCCTAACCCACATCGTCTCCCTGCCCCCCACACCATCCAAGTTCATGCTAGGCCAGCCCTGTGCCCCCTCTGTCCGGCCCTAGGCTGGAGCATGTCTGTGTCCAGGTCCTGGAGGGTTCTGGGCTTTCAGAATCTTCTGTGACCCCCAGGGCCCAGCTCAAAAGAAGAACATACTTTGCAATTGAATTAATCTAATGAATGTCAAATCTTCTGTGTCTTGGAACGAGTAGAACTAAGCAAGATATTCCTGGAAAAACTCTCTCCTCCCTGGCCCACGGTCCATATTCATAGCTAGGAGTATGTCCTTCCACATCTTTCTCTAAATGGTCTTTAAAATAAGGAGACTCAACCCTGGCTGGTGTGGCTCAGTGGATTGAGCACCGGTCTACAAACTGAAAGGTTGCTGGTTCAATTCCCAGTTAGGGCACATGCCTGGGTTGTGAGAGGCAACTGATTGATGTCTCTTGAACATTGATGTTTCTCTCCTCTCTCTAAAGGTGAATAAAAAAAATAAAATAAGGAGCCTCAGAGTCAGGGAAATGGAGACATCAATCTCCAAAGGAAGGCAAGAAATGGGCGTGAAAGGGAGCATGGGAAAATGCAAGGTGCAAAGGAGGGTGGAGGAAAGGGGGACGCAAAGGAGGGTTGGGGGATGGAAGTAGCGACGCAAAAGAGGGCGGAAGAATGAGGGGTGAATAAGGGCTGGGAAAGTGGGAGACAGAGGATGATGTGCTCTACTATACGGACGGACGCGGTTGCCGAAGGGGAACAACCAGGCTTGTAACTGGGAAACGATGACCCTGTGTTCTGTGCAAGGTGACCCCTACGAGGCCCCGCCCCTCCCACGCTTCGCCCCCCGGGTTTCACAGCAGGCAGTGGCCCGGGTCTCGGTCTCGCGCGCCCTCTGGCGGCCCTCCGTGGATGCGCGGCCCTACGTGTGCCCCGTCTGTGGCTCAGCCTGGCTCAACCTGCTAGTGTCATGAGGGTCATAAAGCCCCAAGAGTGTAATTTTTGAGAAAATGTGGGGACAAGCCCCACCCCTTGAAGCCGCCCAACACACGCCCATTGAATTGATGCGAAGAGACAGAATTGTGCAAGCATCCTGCAAATTACAGAAGCAAGTCTATTGGTAAAAAAAAAAAAAAAATGCAGAAAACCAGTACAGAGACAGTTCAAAGGTTCTAGGAAAACAGTTAAAATCTCCTCTTGAAGTGGTGCCATTAGGAGGACACTTAAATACCACTCTAGAAATAACACAAGAGTCACTTTAATATTTCCTTAATAACAGGGCTTAAGGGTGTGTTGACATAATCCTAGTTTAGATCTCCACATGCTTGGTCTCCTTCCTTATATTTTACAAGATGTTTCTTAAAAGCACAATTTGCAAGAAAAGGGAGTGTCTTAAATACACACACACAGAGACACACATGCTAATTTATGTCAATAGCCTATGTTAGTCTATGAACTGTCCTTAAATTCCTGGATTTCTCATCAATAACAACAACAGGGGGCTCAGGAGATAGGTTCACCTGGTGGGCTGTTCACGTCAAATTTGCAGCATTGACATATTTGTGTGTTTAGGGCCCACAAAACCTGGATCTACCCTTGACAAGAGGCATTTTGTGGTTTATGATATTTTAGTAACAATCATTGGGGGAGGAGGTGACAAATCAGAATCCACATCCAACAGAAGAGTCTAGAGCTCAAGAAAGAAAGGTCCCTGTCCACGCTGAGACGGGCTACCTCCCTGACATCACTCCCTCTGGAGTTCCCAGGCCGCCGACCTCAGCCCTGGCCAGGGATGGGCACATGGATGTTGCCAAGTTGTAACATTGTGGGCTGAATCTTTGACAAGACGGTAGATGGTCATAGTAACAATCATTGCTACCAATTGAAAAAGAAGCAGACAGCATTTCCACCATTAGGGATTTTTTTTTGTTTGGCTGGTTGGTTTTCAAAAATTCCAGGTATTTCATCTTTTTCACATTCTGACTTATTTTTGAGCCTTTGTGCTCTGAATGCTGAGGGCCTGCAGAATGGGATGAGGGGGGGTGACAGGAAGGCCCCCATCCTATAGGGACACTCACTGTTCTCCTTTCCTCTTTCTGTCTGTGTAAATCTAGAATTTCTACCCTTTTAGCTCAGCAGAGACTCAGCTTCTGGAAAAGAGGTGAGTAGATTAAGGAACACCGAGAGATTTAGGATGATATTCCCAGTACTCAGCCGCAAAGTACTGCCTAGGCAGCAGAGAGCCAGACAGAGCAGAAGGTCTGGGGGGTGTGGATTCTGCGGGACGAGGAGGCCTGGGAAATCCTGATGAGAGCCCAGGCAGGGCAGCTCCTAGACCAGTGGGTGCAGGTGACCTCCTCGAGGAGGCTCCTGCTTTTGTTATCACGTGGGTCTTTTTTTGATCAACTTTAAAAATTTTAAGTTGGTTTTAGAGAGAGAAACATGGATCTATTGTTCCACTTACTTATGCATTTACTGGTTGATGCCTGTATGTGCCCTGAGTGGGAATCACTCAACCTTGACGTAGCAGGATGACACTCTAACCAACTGGTTAGGCCGGCCAGGGTTATAATTTCCTCTCGTGACCTGGTGACTGGTGCCTGGACAGCCAAAACTGTCCCACTCCACTAAAAAGCTCATAAATAGCTTCAGAGATTCTGCACCTGTTATGTCTCAGCAGGCACCTATAACAACTGCAAATGAGACTTTTTAAAGTGTGTGAGGAGCATTTCCCCTTCTAGAAGTTTATACTACAGCCCTGGCTGGTGTGGCTCAGTGGATTGAGCACCAGCCTGAGAACCAAAGGGTCCCTGGTTTGATTCCTGGTCAGGGCACAAGCCCGGGTTGCGGGCCAGGTACCTGGTGAGGGCACACAAGAAGCAACCACACATTGAAGTTTCTCTCCCTCTCTCTCCCTCCCTTCCACTCTCTAAAATTAAATAAATAAAATCGTTTTAAAAAGAGAGAGAAATTTATACCATAGATTATTCAAATGCATATAAACCAGGAATTGGCAAATCCATAGAGTAAATATTTTTTGCTTTGCAGATCACAGCATATTTGTTACCATTCTGCTGTTGTAGGCCAAACAACATGTAAATAAACAGTATGCAAATAAATGCAAACAAATGGGCATGGCCATACCTTGATGTAAACAACAAAGAGAATGTTGTTTACAAAAGCAGGTGGCAGGATGCGGTTTCGCCCACACCTTCTCTGAAGCCTAGTTTGAGTTGAGGAATGAATGCAAACAACCTAAATGCCCTTCACGAGGGGACTGGTTAAACACGACAGGATCCAACCACAGAAAGTGTTATAGACCAAACTGTTACGCACCCCAAACTCATGTAGTCAGATCCCATCAGTGTGACTGTATTTGGAGGTCATTAAGACTAAATGAGGTCCTGGTCCCAGCTGGTGTGGCTCAGTGGATTGAGCACCGGCCTGCAAACCAAAAGGTCACTGGTTTGATTCCCAGTCAAGGCAAATGCCTGGGCTGTGGGCCAGGTCCCCAGTTGGGGGTGTGCAAAAGGCACCTGATAAATGTTTATCTCACACATCTATGTGTATCTCCCTCTACTTCTCCCTCCCTTCCCCTTTAAAAATAAAAATTAAATCTTGTTTACATTATTTTTTAAAAAACATTGAGTGAGATCCTAAGGATGGGTCCCTGATCCAATAGGTCTGGTGTCCTTATAAGAAGAGGAAGAGACACCAGGGATCTCTCTCTGCAGACAGGAAATGCTGAGTGAGGACACCGCAAGAAGCCAGGAAGAGGATTCTCACCAGAAGTCAACCATGGCACATTGACCTTGGACGTCTAGCTTCCAAAGCAATAAGGAAATAAATGTCTGTTGTTTAACCCACGCAGTCTGTGGTGTTTTGTTACAATGCCCCGAGCTCACTCAGGCCAGAGGGATCCTCTGCAGCTGAGAAGATGATGAGTGCCGAGCATTGAAGCACTCAGGGACCTGCATGAGAAGAGCTCCAAACGACACTCTCTTAGGTGCAGAAATAAGGTGCAGAGCCACGTGGATGGAAAGCACGGATGTGTACACAAGTAGTGGTCTGTCCATACGAGGGGATATTTTTATTCAGCCTTAGAGT